ATAATGCTGCATTGATGCGAGAACGGGAGACTTCCAAGTCCACAAAAGGTAATTGCTGGACTAACAAATCAAATCATGTACACAATACTTAACACTCTTGTTATTCATCCAACTATGATAATCATACCATTTACAGCTTGAAGTTAGATCCTGCACATGGTCAGAAGAGGCCCTTCTATTGGGCCGTTGGGTCTGAATCACAAAAGAGAATAGTTTTGCTATATTTTAACACCGACATTTAACCTAGATTGAGACTTTCCTGTAACTGAACAAAATAACAAAAAAACAATGCACCTTGTGTCCCCTTTCAGCAGGTTTAATAGTAGCGATTATTCCCAAGAAATGTGACTTCTATCAAGATTTTCAGATATGGCTATGAATTTGGATAAATGGCTCATGCATTTCCCAAACAAGCAGCAATAAACAAACTCAATTTCACCTTTCAGGGCAATAATTTCTAGCCTTGTCAGCGATATCCAGATTTTAAGAATAGAGTACAGAGATTGAAGCATTGTGTTCTTCACAGCTCTGGGGAGTAATGAGGGGTAAGGAATACTTATTTAACAAACCCTTCCTCCAGAAGCTTAGTGTAGACTGGAATCCATCACAGAGTTATATATAGCCTTGGAAAAGGTGGGCCAATTGACCCTTCCCAATTTTCTGCTTCCTTATTTGGAACAGTGTGGCAGCAATAGGGTCAAAATACATCCATCTTTACCTGTCCAAGATGGACAGTGTTTCACAAAGAAGTCTAATACTCCCTTATGAGGAGAAGAAGCAAGAAATTTAAAGTATAATTGTCAAAAATATTCAATTCTTTCTGTACAAGCTACACTTCATTTGAACCTTCCTTTCCCCTCTAGAGTAAAATATTAAATTATTTATGTAGTTGTAAGCCAAGTCTTTTGTGCTTCATAAACTACAGCATATAATGAAATATAGTGCATGAGTGAACTGCTTGTAATATTAGAGATACAATTCATTGCAATCTCTTCTTCTCTCCCAGCCTCTGACAATCATCAATTGAAAAGGACTGTGCTTAAATGAGGACAAGGGAGAAGTGAATAACTCCTAAAAATGATTGACATAAAGGAGACAGTGGTGCCTGTCACAAAATGTATGCCAAAAGCTACCCTTTCCTTCCTCAATTAACTGCTGTTGAAGACTGAAAAAGTGCATAAGATGAAGGATAATTTTGCATAAATGTATGTAGTTTCATCCTTATTTATTACACACAGCATTCAACACTTGTAGGTCTGTCTGATTGTCGTCTAATGCATAGCATAATACCATAAATATCTGCCACAAATATTTGAAGAAATCTTTTGGTTAAAAACAAATCTAACTGTTATTGTAGTGGAGGACAACTTTTCTTAGAAAAAAACAGAACAGCTACGGAATTGTGCTTTTCCAAATTAAAATTTTATACTATTTACTGTTCTTGTCTTGAGTTCCAAGTTTCTTTGGAAATTCTTTATCTATTTCTTGAAAGCTGAAATCAAATAATTCACTTTAAATGAGCTGATCAGGAGTGGCATAAGGAGAAAAGCAGAATACCATTTTTGATTGAACCATTGGATTATTACTTCCATTGTGATATCGAGAACAGATTGCCAGAGTCTGGTCAGAAACTCCATATCCAAAATGTTTTTCCTCAGACAAGCCAAAACAGCACACAATAGTCCAAGTGGTCTCATCAAGGGCCTGTACAATTGCAGTAAGAATCCCTGATCTGGTACTCTAATCATCTTGCTATGAAGGCCAACATACCATATGTCTTTATCACCGCCTCCTCTCTTCAGGTGTTAGGCTCTAAATTAAAAATGCAAGACCTCTTGGATAATAATCTCTGGATTATTGTCTGAGCCATTTGCAATTTGGCATAGAGAGTAAACAGATCAGGAAAATGAACACTTGGCAAAAGAATGATGTGAAACGAGAGTGGGGGGGGGATTCCTTTTCAAGGGACATTGCATGGATTTTGGAAAAATCAAGATCTACAGCAATCACTACGTAGAGAATGTGGGGAAAATCAAGGTTGCTACAAGTCTGTTTAACATTATGGTTATGTTATTTTGAGCTCTCAAAAATCGATTGAACACTTTAATAAGTACTAGCTTATTAAAGATCAAAGAAACTCCGATGTACTTTTGAAAGGTAGGTCATGCTTGCTCAATCCAACTAAAATTTTTGAGGTCACTAGCAAGGTGGATAGGGAACTGCCTATGTGTCTTGCTTATGTAGACTTCCAGAAGGCATTTAGAGAGATACCACGCCCAAATGATTAGCAGCAAAAATGCAAGTTCATAGAATTAGCGCTGCTTTTGGGTCACTAGGTAGCAGATCATTTAGAAATAACAGGAAAATTCTCTTACTTAGTGGAATACATGTGTTATCCCAGCATCTGTTCTGTATATTTGGGAGTGGCTCAGTGGTTAGCACTGCTGCCTCACAGTGCCAGTGACCTGGGTTCAATTCCACCCTTAGGTGACTATGTGGAGTTTGCACATTCTCCCCGTGTCTGTGTGGGTTTCCTCTGGGTGCTCCGGTTCTCCCCCCTCAACAGTCCAAAGATGTGCAGGCTAAGTGCATTGGCTGTGCTAAATTGCCTGTAGTGTTCAGGGATGTGTAGATTAGGTGGGCTATAGGTCTGGATAGGATGATCTGAGGATGGTCAGTGTGGACTCAATGGGTCGAATGGCTTGGTTCCACATTGTAGGGATTCTAGGATTCTACGAAGGGAATTAAAAAGAAATGAAGTATAGTGGGTAAACGAATTGAGCACAGATTAGCCATTAGCCATGACCTAACTGAATGGCAGAACGTGTTCAAGGGGGTGAATGCAATATCTGTGTTCCTATTTCCCTCAATGATTTCCTTTGCATCTCCTCTCATACAGCCACACTTTGCAAAATGCACCTCCTTTTAAAAATAGCCTGTTTCATGACAGTTAAAAAACAGTAACCAGAAGGCATGATCAACTAGTTGAAATTAAAAGAAATTGCTGAAAATACACAGAAGATTTGGCAGCATCTGTGGAGAAAGAAAAAGTGTTAAAACTGAGTTGCAAGTGATTTTTTAATAACTATTTCTCATTCTGTAGAATGGTCATTTTCAACTTGAAAAATTAACTTTGTTTTGAGGCCTCTTCTGCAATACTGTTTCCTATAACTGGGCGACCAGAACTGGACAGATATCATCAAGTTGGAGAGGGTTTAGAAGAGATTTACCAGGATGTTGCTGGGTTTGGAAGGTTTGAATTATAAAGAAAGGCTGGGACTTCTCACTGGAGTGTAGGAGTTTGACAGGCGACCCGACAGAAGTTTATAAAATAATGAGAGATATAGATAAAGAGTTAACGGTAGTTGTCTCTTCAAGGATGAGGGATTTCAAGTCTCAGGGGCATATTTTTAACGTGAGAAGAGAGAGAGATTTAAAAAAGACATAAGATGCAAGTTCTTTTTTAAAACACAGAGGGTCCTTTACATATGGAATGAACGTCCCGAGAAAGTGTTGGATGGAGGTACAATTACAATGTTCAAAAGACATTTGGATAGATACATGAATAGAAAAGATTTGGAGGGATCTGGGCCAGGAGCAGGGAGGTGGGACTAAGTTTAGTTTGGGATTAATGTTCTCAATGGACTGGCTGGACTGAAGGGGCTGTTTCCATGCTGTATGATTACGACTGTCCACTTGTGCCTTGTTGCAAGACTTCAGAACATCATTCTACCAAATTTGCTATCACAGATAGTTGTTCTGGCTGGACAAGCAGCAAGAAAGTTTATCCATTTTTTATTTCATTGACAAGCTGTCCATTTTCAGCTGCATCTCTGATGAACATCATAGGGTTCTTAACTGTCATTTGGTCTTACGTAATGCATGTATATCTCTAACATTAAGCAAATAGGCAATTGCACATTTTCATTTACTAACTACAGGGATTAAAATCAGTCTCTACCATCACTAGTTCACCTTTTACCACCTAGACCGAATACCAGCTGTAGTTTCACTTCTCCTTTCCAGAGGGATCACTTGTCTGAGTGATTCTTATTGCTCTTCTACCAATATCGCACCTTCCAGCTACTTTTGCTGTAGCATGTTCCTACATGACTACAGCAAATGCAAAGCATCTTCATTTCGCTTTAGAATCCCTTAATACTTCAACCAAGATTGTATTGTATTCTTGTAGCTTGCATCAATCCTTCTCCCAAGGTGCTCAACAGCTCTTTGACCTCAGTAACTTTACAGATTACTGACATCTCCCACTTATTTTTGTACCAGTATGCTATAGGTTGATTGGATTGGTCTTTGTCCATGGGATGGACAGGTAAAAATCGATGCTGCAGGTCTAAACTCTCAATTACAACATATTCTTAGAGGTATGTGCTGAGTGTGATAGCCTCTTTACCCTATTTCTCAGGGCTAGTACATCCGCTGTATTTTTTCAGCATTTCCTGATTAATTTTGGTCCTCATTATTTAAATAATGTGCATTCCTTAGTTAAGGTCTTTCAGTTGTCTCACTAGTATAATTTAATAGATTCCTGCATCTGCACCAGGTAGCTTGCTATCTTTCCCTCCTTCCCATTATATTCATATGGCCTGACAAAAGGAGAGATTGTTTGCCTTTCATTTTTGAAGATGGATTTACACAGCAAATAATTCTTGTTCAGATAATATACTACCAGCTGTGCACTTCAGGCAGTTTCTGTTTTTAATTCTGTTATCTACAGATTTAATTTTCACAACACATCTTTTTAAGAAAGGTAGATTATATATTTCTCATACATTTTCCCTTTGATGTCAGAAGAATATACTGTTGGTCTTTCCTGTCCTTTGAATTAGTTAGAAAACTTAACACTTTCATGGTTTTTGTTGTTTCTTTAGACTTGTAACAGTATACACAAGGAAGGTCTAAGTCAAGATATGGGAGTACAGGCACCTCAGAATGAGTATGGAGGCACTGATATAAAGCCCCAGCTATCAAATTCTACTCACATTTCATAGATTCCAGTGTTTTACTGGGACATGATAAACGTTGCGAAGGTGGGTTCTGTGTTCGCTGAAGGCAGGCCAACATGATGGAGGAGCTGCGTCTATTCTCACAGTCAACACCTTCAACTATCACGCTGTTAAATGAAAAGAGATAAAGTATAAGTATCAAATAAGAATATAAGAAAAGGAAAATTTAAATATTTCAATGGTGAAATATGACACTGATGCATAATTCTGTGTAGGTAAGGAACTGAAGGCCAACTAATTCAAACTACGAAATTTCTCAAAAATCAAGACTTCAATAGCATGTCATTCCACCATGTGACATCAAATTATGGGAATAGTATTCTCCATTGTTTTTGCCAGGAAATTTACTTTAAATTTTAAATCAGAGGACATCTAAGGTTTCATCATTTTGGTAATCAATTACAATCATAAATAAATCATTTAACTTTGACCACATCACCTTCTTTCAACACCTCTGCACTATCATGTAGCTTGGTGGAACTGGTCTAAGTCCAACCTTATCTATTCAATGGTATCTAGCAAATCAGCTCCATTGGTCATATCACACTCTTGTGCTGTTACCTCTGGTAACCCTCCAAGGTTTATATTTAGCCCTCTATTCTAAGATGAATCCTTTGGCAACACAATCTGATAATGCAACAATTTCCAGATGTACATTCACAACATCAAGGGTACAAAAGCAGAAGGGGTTCTATCACTGAATTGGGGATCCAATAATCTCAGCTAATGATCCAGAAATAAGTGTTCAAATTTAACCACAGTAGCCAAACAGTTAATTAATTATATCTGGAATTTAGAGCTAGCACCAGTAATGATTAAAAAAAACCACCAGACTGTCATAAAAAGATTAATCTATTATTGTCCGTTCGGAAGGAAATCTGCCATTTATGCAATGTGTATGACTCTCAAGTGCTCTTTAAAAGTGGTCTAGCCAGTTACTCAGTTGTACTCAAGGCAGCAGCTGACCATCACTTTCTCAAGGCGAATTTGTGCTGGGTAATGAATGCTCATTAGCCAACATCTCATGGCTTAACTAAAAAATTCAATTCATATGCTCTCAATGTCTCCTTGTCTCAAACTTGAGGTTCTGGTTTGACATTCAATACTGGATAAGCAGAAACTTCTTTCTATTAAATAGATAGAGTTGGCTGAAACCATTACCAAGGATGAGTTAACTTAGGATGAAACTGCTTTGATGTCATAATTGACAACAAGATGAGCTTCTGAACACACAGTCATGCCATTGCAAAGATAACCACTGCAATGTCTCGATTTTAATTCCATATCATCTGATTCCACCTCACTGTGGCTCCACTGTTATTGAAACCTTTACACCAGGCCATTACTACCTCTAGATCATAGAATCAATCATAGAATCCCTACAGTGTGGAAACAGGCCCTTTGGCCCAACAAGTCCACACCGACCCTTGGAGCATCCCAACCAGACCCATGCCCTTATAACCCACCTAAGCTACACATCCCTGAACACTATGGGCAATTTAGCATGGCCAATCCACCTAACCTGCACATCTTTGGACTGTGGGAGGAAACCGGAGCACCCAGAGGAACCCACGCAGACACGGGGAGAACGAGCAAACTCCACACAGACAGTCGCTTGAGGGTGGAATTGAACCCAGGTCCCTAGCGTTGTGAGGCAGCAGTGCTAACCACTAAACCAATGTCGCCAAATAGATCTACTATTTTAATGTATTTCTGGTTTGTATCCTATGTTTTCTGCGAACTCAAGGTCATCTGAAGTTACACTAAGACCATTCATCTTTATCACTGTGCATACTGGCCTACACATGATGCTTAAATAGGAGTCAATTTTGAGATCAATTATGTTTAAGTCACTTGTGCCCTTGAACTTCCCTTCTCTGGAATTTCCTCTAGCCCTACAACTCATCTGCAATTCTCCAATCTGGACTCCTTGAGCGCTCCCCGCTCCCAATCTCAATTGTCCCGCCACGTAGAGTTTCCAATACCTTAAGCTCTGGAATTTCCTCCCCAGAATTCTTCACTTCTCTTCCTCTCCTTCTCACTAAATACACCCTTGCCTCCTTGACCAAGCTTTTGGACATCTAATCTAATAGTTCCCTATGAGGCTATGTTTTGTTTTGTGATGCTTCCAATGTTAATTATATAATAGTACAGAATGCTGTCATTGCTCTAACTACCATGGTAGACTGTGAATTTATATCTGGATTGCTAGTCCAGGCTCAACAATGTTTGATTCAACTTATTGGTAAATGCATAATTAATAATGCTTACTTCCAAATTATATTTCACATAAGTTTAGTGATGTAAAGCCTTAATTTGTAAATATTAGTGGGATACTGTTAAGAAAGCCTACAAAAAGCTATGATATGATATAGTTAAGAAAGAAAAACAAACAAGAATGGATTGGAAAAAAAACCCCAAAAACTGCAGATACTGGAAATCAAAGAAGAACAGAAATTGCTGGAGAAGTCTGGCAGCATCTGTGGAGAGAGAGTTAACAGTTCAGGTCCAGCGACCCTTCTTCAGAAGAAAAGAATGGGCTGATGTTGTAGATGGGACACATTTACACTGAGGTGAGTCTACCTAGTGGTAAATAGAAGCGGTAGTAAATCAGAAGTAAATAAAATGCACTGCTAATTAGCTAGAAGAATTGCCCGAGGGCGAAATGCAATTTTCTACCAGACGTGATGGTGGAAGTTATGATCAGATTATTTTGGGAAAACTAGGCACACTGTACCCATGGGCAAATGCTATGAATCTTTGGTTAGAAGTTGTTAATTTTGTTGACACGGGTATACATCCTATTTAGGCTAAATATTGTGAAGCTACCTGCAAAGACCGTATAAAACAGGGGTACAAAATCCTAAGTGATGCACTTGCCAAGGAATAGTATTTGTCACAGGACACTTGGAGGGGGATGGTGGATTTGAAATAACTAATAAACAGTCTCCTATTCACCAAACAGACGATTTAACCAACTAAGCCATGGTCCCAACATAAAATTTGTTATATACTTTGTTATAGCATCAAAGATGCAAAACAAAGGTGTTATAAGCTCACAGAACAAGTCATGTTTGTACTGGTTATAATGTGTGATGTAGTAAAAGATTTGTGGTGGAGGTCACATGTCTATGGCAAACCAGAAGAGACACATTCATATAATGAAGCATTTCTATCTCAAACAAAATGGAACATGTTGTCTCAACCAGATAGAGAAATTTAGAATAATACTGCACAAGATGTACAACTAACTGGGTGAATCACCAAACCCCGAATTGCTGGAAGCTATTAATGTTTCTTGAAGTGCTCATTTTTTTCTTGCTACAAGCTCAGATCAACTACTTTAAAATACATCTGAGTGTATGCTGTAACCCACAGGCATGTAGCAGTGATTGTTTACAAAGTGCATTTCAATCTCAACTTATAAAAAAAATGAAACCTGCATTTGTAATATACATTTCAGAAATGGAAACTGAAAAATTGTCAACAGGAGGGCATTTTTCTTAATGCATAAACAAGCACTTTAAGATCCACAGTCATTCTCTAATGCCTGGAATTCTAATTGAACTGAAGATCAAATCCCAACAAAACCAGTTATAAAACTAATAAAGGCAAGGGAGTATTGGTAGGCACTCCTGAGTTCAGCACAAAGTCCAGAAGCCCAACAAAAGTTCATTCAAAGGCTCCAAAGAGTCATGGAACTTCAAATGTCAACTGTGTTTCTCTTTCCACAGATGCTGTCAGACTTGGTAGAAAGTGCTGGAGGAACCCATTTTTGTTTTGGATTTGCAGCATTTTGATTTTATTAAAAATGATTCATTCTGTGAGGTCTTTCTAATTAATATGAACACTGACAAACAAAGTCTTTTTCCCCTGCTGCCCATCCCTTCAGACTTCAGGCTGTTATGCTAGACCCCAGGCAAAGTTCCCCAATTTCTTACAGTTCATGACAGGATATTCTAAATTGTTAAATTCATCTGTTAGGAGAGATGTGCCAGCTCACCTTGATTCACCTTGCCCTCTCAGTCAGTTGCAATGCAGTCAATTTAAAACGGACCCCTTCCCGTGTGGGAAAAACTTGTTTTAAGGGAACGCAGTTTAAACGCTTTCTGAACTGGAGGTTGTTCATTAATTACTAAACACAAGAATTAATAATGCAAACATGCACACAAACTAGAAATATGAGGTGAGTTCAAAAAGATAAAAAGATTAATAAAACATATATGAATCTGTCGATTGTTTGACCAGCAGATAGTTGAACAGATAGTAGAGCACCCGCACTCTGTTTGCGACAAATGACAACACTTTCCAGTCGCAAACCACTTAACTCCGTCTCCCACTCCCTGGGAGAGATGTCCATCCTGGGCCTCCTTCAGTGTCACAATGACGCCACCCGGAAACTGGAGGAGCAGCACCTCATTCTGCCTTGGGAGCCTACAACCCAATGGTCTCAATTTGGACTTTACCAGTTTCAAAATCCCCCCACCACCAGCCTCATCCAATGACCAACCCCCATCTCATCCCTGCTTCCTTGACCTGACAACCTGTCCAGCTTCTCTCCCACCTATCCGCTCCTCCCACCTCACTGCCCAATCCCTACCACTGCCTCCCTGCACTCACCTATCACCTTCCACCTACCTTCTCCAGCCCCGCTCCTCCTCTGTCTTTCAGAGCTCCTTTCCTCCTCCCCCATTTCTGAAGGGTCCTGACCCGAAATGTCAACTTTTCTGCTCCTCTGATGCTGCCTGGCCTGCTGTGTTCCTCCAGCTCTACACTGTTATCCCTGACTCCAGCATCAGCAGTTCTTACTATCTCTGAGATAGTTGAACATTGTAGCCAGTGTAGTGGAGGTTACATCAGTAGCATTGATGTTGTTGATTGAACAGTCGATTTCAAGATTCTTAGTTTAGCAGGCTGGTTGAGATTCTGTTCTGGATTCCTTTCCAATCTGATCTTCTGGTTTCTCCTCAACTGTTATAACAGAGGCTAGAGGCCTTTCTCTGGTCCCACCAGGCTTATAAACAAATTTAACTGTTTTACCTTCTCCTGATATGGCCAATCATATGCTTTCTGAATATTAGACTTAGAATATGGTTTCCTTAATAGA